CGAGGGCCACACAAAAACATAGGGGGCGTGCGTGGCAAGCGGGCGGCGCGGGGTCAGTAGAAGTTGCGGCACAGCAGCGCGGCCAGGTAGTTGGGGTGATGCAGCGGCGGCCACACGCGGAAGGGCGACAGCAGGCGCTGCGAGAGGGGCGCGGCGTGGGGCGGGGCGAGCGAGGCGTGGGGCGCGTGCGGGGCGTGGGGCGGGGCGTGGCGCGGCTCGCGGCGCGGCGTTACCTTGCGCACGAGCTCGGGCGGGAAGCCGGCCAGGCCCGCGGGGGGCAGCTTGCTGAGCGGCGAGTCCGCGTACTGCACCAGCGTCTCGTAAGTGTACGTCTGCCGCGCGCCGGCCGCACCTGCGACATAGACGCCAACACATACTAACCTGACTTATTACTCACCACCTTTTTCTTTTTGCGTTACGTTCCCCATGTTCAAAAGTTGAATTTGTCAGGCCAGAGTAAAGTCTTTCAAACGAATACCCATGTGTGGATCATTGGAGAGAATGGCCTTATAAACACTGAACTTTATGAAAAGACCAGAGTCAGGAGAAGGCTCTTGCCAGCTGTGAGTTAAGTTGACTAAGATGAAGTAGGTCCTGTCAATTTACGTACCAGCCAGCCACAGTTCAAGGTAATAAATTTGTATGCATATAAAGCAAACATTCATATTTATTTATTAAATTTAAATCGAGCAATGTTAGTTGCACTCAGCTCAGCTCACTATTTATTTAGCACCACCTCAACTTTGTAAATCTTTCCAATTTTCTGTTTAGTAAAGTAAGAATAGTTAACATGCTAAGCAATGTCATTCACACACATCAGTTCTCTGCGATCAGATTATTTAAACTATAACAAAGAAACAAAGCTTTCAAATATAATTGATATACTTTATAAAAAAGAAATTTAAGGAAGATAAGAGAAAGTTTTTAGCATTTCAGTCATTAGTTAAATTGTTAGTGGGCCAACATTCAATATGCTTTTATTGACTGACTTCTGCATACTAGTTACATGATTGAATGATGACATATATGGAGTGACATAAATATGACATGCCAGATGCCTGATACATTACTATGAGAATACATTACAAGATACATCACGACATTTAGATACGTTCAATATAAATAATATTCAATATAATTGGGTGGCAATATTTGGTAGATATGCTATATTGTGTAATGTGACACGAGGCGGCAGGTCATCTTACCTTGGTTCTTGTCAGTGCTGGTGGCACGCGAGAAGCGCGGCCGGCGCGGCGCCGTCTCGCCCTCCCCCGCCGCTGCACACACGCATGACGTCACGTCACGTCACACGACGTCACGACGCGACACGACACGACACGTGACATCACGAAACGACACGTGATGTCACGTCACCAAACGATACCACGGCCGCGCGAGTTGTCACACAATTTCTAGTCACAAGTAACTACCCTCGAGGCTCGCTAAGTTTATTTTAAACACAACTGTATATTTATTTTAGTTTTTAATTTATTTCAACAATAGAAACGTGTGATTTAATTTTTAATTTTAGATTTTAATTTGCCACAGTCTATTCAAACATAAGCCTGAGCATCATACTCTAGCAGAAATTAATAAAAAGTTAAACCGCAAAGTTGTGACTATTTTAAATGTCGTTTTCAGTTGATTTGTATCAAATTCTTAAAATACTCACCTCCCCTTATAATAAATAACCCACTACCCAGGCAGTTACTTACGAAACATAGAAATTGTATTACTAGAGTTAATAGGCGGGCGATGAAAATTAATAAATGGTTATTTAAAATGATCAAATCCAGAAAGAAATTTGGAAAACACCCTGCCTTAGCCGTGGACCGATATGTATATGAAATTGAAATACAATACATAGAACAAATACATATGGATACATAATATTATATGACCAAAATACACCTGTATATATAAGTAAATTCATACTTTATGGGTAATGACGTTTCTATGAATTTAAATATAATTGTAATGTGAAATTGAACCTAATCTTATTAAGCTACATGCTTCAGTCAGTCTCTACTGCTTTTATTAAAGTATAAACCGACCAAATATAAAACCGCAAACCCATTTTTCATTTTCACACCATCATGCTGTACGCTAAAATTATTAGCTTTTAGCTTTGTCTACGGACATGCTATTATAAAGTCGGGATGCAAACTATACCAAACTCGAAATTGTAAATAGATTGTTTTAAAACCTTTCATTTCCTTAAAACATTACATGCAAATTCTTTAAAGGGACGGCTAAACTGTCTATTATACTTTCGCAACACTGTTTTCTGCTTCAAAAACTTTATTTCAACTTTTGCAACCTAAACAGGAATTTATATTTTTACCTTATAATTACACTTATTGATTTCTTTTGCTCTCTGTGGTCTCTTAAAATATTTTCATACAGATCTCACTTTGTTTATAACTAGTGGAGCAACTATCCGTAACCTTTAGTTCTGGACGTGTCGTTACCTTGCGCGTCGTCAGAGGCGTGCGCGTGCGCAGGTGCGAACACGTCGTCATCGCCGTTGAGTGCATCATCACGCAGCAGAAGCGCGGCGCCGGGCCGCTGCGACAACGTGAAGAAGTCGCCCGATCCCGCGCCCAGAGCCTCCAGCGCGCCCGCGCTCTCGAAGTACTCGTCCAGCACCAGCTTCGCCGTCTGACACATAACACATTACTCCAACAAATGTATACAAAGTCCTTTGTTTAAATTCCTTTGTGTTAAATTTTAATATCAAAATGAGGTGTCATAATTGTGAAGTCTTACTTTAACAAGATCCAGATTGTTGCCCGTGATCTTAATGGAATGTTGGCCAAAAGTCACAGTGTGCTTATACTCTCCCAGCGCTGCGTCATTCGTAGAGAAGCTATGGAGCAAAGCCCGATTGTTGTTGTGAGGAGACTTCTGAAATTTATAAGTAAACATCATATGCAATAATTCTTTTGGTTCCAATTTTTAATGTATTTCTTTTCCTTTATATTAAATGGCAGACTTGTTTGAAAGGTAAATTGTGTTATGATGTTACCTCGCGCTGTACGATGCGCGGTGCGTCATCCGAACCGGCGGAGTCGAGCGAGGCGCGCGAGCCCGCCAGCGCGCCCTCCAGCGCCCCCTCCAGCCGCACCGGAGACGCATTGCGCCGGATCGTATCACCGATCAGATGCTTTGCGTGGCTGGAAAACATCAACACGATTTAGTTAAATCGACTGAACACAATAATGCAACCTTGACCGAGCTATCGGCATATACAATATACACATAAACAAAGTATCCAAGGTCTTGTTAAAAAAAGTTTTAGACCAATTAACTGCGTTTGTATTATATATTATGAAAGTTTTTATTTAAATTTAAAATAAAGTCTTGCACACCTACTTATTATGATAATAAAAATACTCACTTAACATTTTCTTCATTGGGACCTGTGATTTGAACAAGCCTCTCCTTGGCACCTGGACTCACTGTAAACAGAAAAAAAACTCTTCTAATTCTGGCCCACATAAATTATAAAGTTAGTACAGTTTGTTAATATTTGAAGCCGAAAGCTTAATGCAATTAATAGGCAGTAAGTACTTAAAATCTATTTCGTCATTATCCATCTAAGAACAATGGTATAATGTATTGTTATTATATTAAATATCGAACACATGGATACATATTTTCATGAATGTTAATCTATAATTAGTGTTGATTACACCTAAAATGAGCACACCAAACATTGTTATATCACTATACATAGAGAGTTATAGACAACATAGAGAAGTAGGAAGCATTAATTATAAAAGGCGAAGATAGAGAGAGTCCGTCACACCATGCGTAAGCGCCGCCCCGTCCGCTCTGTGCATTCGTACCTCTCTGAAACGATATTATCGTGTCACTTATCTCCTCGATCATGTGCACCCGTCTGCCCTTGATACCCATCACTGTAACACCACAACACAAGTTCAACTTACTGCATTCACTCCAATGTTGCCAGCCTATCAACTGTTATTTAAAAAGTAAAGACACAAAAAAAATTAAACTAAACAAATATTTTCTAGATAAATAAGCCCAATTGAGAACTGAAAATACAAACATAAATTTTTACACAAAATTAACAAAACAAAAATCTAATTTCATGCATCTTTCTACTTAAACTTACGATTAATTTAATAACACTAGGAATAAGCATCTTGACTCCATTCATGCCCTGAATACACCTACATTTTGACATTACTTGGTTTACATGCTTTGATACAAAATAAATATCCCTGAATAATTAAAAAAATGTTGGTCACTATGACTCACCTTTTCCAGAATCAGCATTTCTAATAACAACTTCATCCTTGGAATAGTTTTTGCCCGGTATTTTCGTTGGCTTAGGGAATTTGCCAGATGGCTTGATGACTTCACCGGGGCCAAGTAAAGTGGGCGGCTCGGTAGGCGCAGCCAGCGTGGGGGAGACCGAGCCACCCGACCCCGACCCTTCCATGGTAGGAACTAACAGTGGCTGAACATTATACAAATGTTATTATTGTACTAAAACAAATCCACATTAATTTATAGACAAATAATATAGTAAGTGTCTACCTCAGCATGTGTACCACGGTGTCTATAATATTGACTCATATAATCAGATCCTTGCCAATGCTTTGCACGTAATTCTATTAACTCAAGAAGATGGAGACGAGTTTTTTTGTCCAATCTTTCATCCTGAGACCCGTTACGGAATACAACAAAATATCTGAAATTACAAAATTTTTGTTTACAAATTTTGTCAAAAATACTGTTCCTTTATTCCTAATTCAAATCATATAATACTTCTTAAAGTGAAGAGAAAACAAACCTATCAAGAAACTCCTTATAAAGTGCTTCGAGCTGGGCACCATAAAGCTTGAGGTTGGAGTACATGGTAGCAACATTGCTCTGAAGGGCACGATCAAAATTCCCCTGCATCATCTGGTATGCCACACCCTCAGTCAACACTATCAGATCATCAACTGCAAAAAAATACTCATAACTTGTAATGTTTACTTATATATTTAGCTTATAAATAATAGATGGCAATTCTAATAAGATTCTTACCAGAATTAATTTTCACATCTAATACAGAGTTGCGGGTATGTGCGGAACTGGTTGTCGATTTCAGGGGTCTGGGCACCTCCAGTTTTTTTACCGTGCGGGTCATTTTCGTTAGGGTCGACATGGTGCTGAAAATTAAAATATTTTATAGTGCAAAATGCAGTGCTTATAAACAACGCGATGTAAAGAAGCAAGCCGTGACGTTTTAATCATATTAAAAATTTCTGTAAGGATGTTAGTAACCTTGTCATAATTTATTCATGTGAAACAATGAGACAGGAACTTAAGTATCAACAAAACGAACAACTCACTCATCCATGGCGACTGCGCCTATGCAGTATATGCACACTAAAACCACGAATAGAGCAAAAAGCGTGAAAAGTGAAAGTGATGACAATGATACTAGCGAATAAATTCGGAACAAATCCAATACGTGTTCATTACTCGTAAGATTGGTTTTTCGTATAATAAAAACGGATTAGCTGAAAAAATTTTGACTTTGAAGAGGATAAATACTTTGCTCGTCAAAAAACATTTGGACAAAACAATTGAAAACCATGGAACACAATGAAATAAGAAATAAACAAGAACACTCACCTGGCTACGCCATTAATTCGCAATAAAAATAAATTCTAGTAGAGTTGTCACTTATACCGAAAAGTTTTAATTTTGTTCAGGGAAATATTTTCTAACTTGGACATAAATATTACAGTAGTTCTTTTTTCACGATGAAATCTCATATTATGTAAAAAATATAATTATTTTATTAAAAAATAAATCAATAGTTTACCGATAACTTTTACCGGTTTAGTAAACACTGTTCTGACAGTGTTGCAAGTCTGTCAAACAACCGATTTTAGGTAAAATTTTCGTTTTGTGAATATTACTTTTTTTTCTGATGATAAAAATTTAATTTCAAAACATTGCGATTTGATTTAGTTTAGTTTACATTATGTGATGTCTCGTTTTTGGTGAAATTTAAGTTTTTTGAACGAATCATTGTGCCTATTAATGTTTTAATGTAAATACCCTTATAGTTATTCATTTTATGATCATTCTAAGAAATACACCAATTTTAAGAAATGATCGTAAAAAATATTTTAAAGTAATTAAAAGTAACCTCTCAAGATGTGGCCAACGAACATTAAGTTTATCACTGTAATTTATTTTTGATATACATTTCACTTACAGTAACAGGCATTACTAATTTAATAAGAGAGCTTTCAATAAATAAGCAGATGCCACTTCTAAGCTCGTAAGTGCGCCAGTCAAGACATTTAAAAAGAGTGTAAAATTAGTAGAATTAAAATAAAGAACCGGCAACATTTTAATGTCATTCATGTCATTTTGTCAAACAGTAATCAAATCAAACGTCATTGTCATATTTTACGCGAAGACGAAGAGAGCTGAGGTGTATATGTATTTTGGTTCGGCAATTTTGCTATGGTGTAACGTAAAATGTGTGCAAACGAGACAAATTTACTACACCAAAAACTTCTCAAAGTTTAACGTGATTGTGATCTATTCAAGTGATTAAGTTACCTGCTTCTTATTTTTTTTTGACGGGAAAGGTACGTATTCTAATATGTTTTAGTTTGAAAGCCGGTCAATGTTTAGGTTTTATTTTAAATTTTAATACATTTTCCTATAAATATATTGGAAAATATTTAAACGCAAGAAATCACTTTCGAACAGTAAAAGCCTATTAGTAAGAAGTACTAGATTTTGTCTAGTATTTCACTCTAAGTTGTTATTTCTCTTACGCTTCACAACATGTGTAATAAGTTAGCTGTTTTATATTGTTTATCATTTTAAAAGTAGGCTCGTTAGAAAGTCAAAGACAAAGATTTTTCTTCAAACTAATAATTATTTATAGTATGAACTCGAAATCATCAGATCCTAAGTTAATAGTATAAAAAATTTACTTTATTGTGGAAGGTGTATAATAAAACTAACCTCTTCTACTGTATTTTCTTTTATAATAAATTAAAAAGTTAGTTCATTAAATTAATTTTATTGAAATAGAATGCTACACTTGTTTTAATGAGCAATTGAAAATACCATATAAATGTTATAGAATATAAGTAAACAATAATCATTTAATAAAAAAGGTAAATAATCATATTTGCATTTTATTTTCAGCCATCAACATGCATCAGTACTACCTTTCAGTGATATTTGTAAGGTTGGTGCTACCAGCAGGGCTTCTACTAGGTCAGTGTTCTAATTAATTTATTTTACATGTAACCTAGGCATACTATGAATTTCAGTTGTATTCTTAATTCTTACAAAAGTATTATATCATTCTGAACTTACCATTGAATAATAAATTTCAAAATATTAATTAGTTTCACCTTCATTAAACAAACAATGAGCCAATATAATATAGGTTTAATAAATTACATATAAAAAGGTATATATTAGTTTATATAGGTGTGTTAAAAATCTCACATAGAGTTTGTCTTTCAAATTTATGTAAATAATAATGGTCCAAGATTAGACCTCGCGTCATTCCATTGTTGTTACCTTTATGAATTCCCACCACATCTCCATAGTAATACCAAAATAAGGATTACGTCATCGCACGAATCGCCGCGGTTACCATATATAATTTTTTTTGCTATTAACATTCATAAATAATATAGAACTTAGCAAAGCAATTCATATAAGAGAAATAAAGCGAAAAACGTAGTTAAAATAGCTGGAAAAAAATCCGCCGATTCAAAAATTGTCCGTTTAACCGTCTCAATTTTAAACAGGTTTTTGCGTTATTCGTTTTATGATCTGGAAACGATGTACTTACATTACTTAATTACAACCAATTCCATGTATACCCCCCTTAACGTCTGTGGCTAAGCGCACCTGTTATTTATCACGCACCAATTTCATACGACCTAAGTTCTACATCAGGACACATGTATGTAACCCGCCGAAAAATGTTACCCTCTTATCAGTCGGGAAAAAGCATGTTGATTTGATTTAATGTCGTCGCATTGCGGGCTGAGAGTGTAACAGGCATCCCTCAGGGCGCGCCACATCAGGGTGCGTCCTCACGTTTCGTAGTTTGACCCGCTGACCGATATGCCCTGGCCTTGCCGGGAGCCTTTTTATTGAAATTTGCATGTTTTCAACACGCACCTCTTCCAACGTAACATTTTGTTATGACACTTCGTATAAATCAACCTGTCGAGATTCCCGCTGTAATCTATATCTCGGAATTTAATACGTATACTACGAGTACGATTTTATTTATTATGATATTTATGGATATGCTTGATAATAGTGGTATCAATAGCACGAATTTATAGATTTATAGAAGAATATTTTGCATTTTAAATGTTTAGTGGTATCGCGGGTAGATGTAAAATTCGCTACTAGGTGAAAGTCCTGTCCATCCTGTGGCTTAAAATTGTACAAATGTACTTTTTTTCATCATAATCAGTAGTTTTTATCTGTAACTCAACAACAAGGCATATAAGCTATCGCTCATTTGCTCGAAAATTCAATACTCACAACACTTTATGGAAAGAGGATTTACGGATTCACTATACGATTTGACTCTTTATATGATTTGCATTATAAAGCTATTTAGCGTGCTATACTCGTAAAGAATTCACTGTGTGACCCTAATTCCACTATGGCTCATAAAGCCAGCAATTTAGGGAACAACTCTGACCGGCCCTTTGTTTACAACCATGCCTAGCTGCCCGCGGCGTGCGAGCTATAAAGCTATTTCTAATACAAGTGCTATGTTCTCAAATCGAATCATATGATGCTATAATAACAGTAAACTAACACTAAAGTTTTAGACCTATAATGATAGAATAAGACAAAGTCACTAGATACATTACGGTATACGTAGAAGTGTGTCTGTATAAACACGAATGTCTCTTGATTCATCCGTACAATGGAAGTAGTATAAACAATGTGACATGTGACAATTTCTGTCCTAGTCTATTCAAACCTTTAAAAGCACAATAATATAAGAGCAAAACGCTAGTATAAGGCTTAATAAGGATTATTCAAATTGTAGTTTCAGCAATTTTCCAGTTAAATTTTCACCTTAATTAAAAATAGAAGACACAGGTTATTGACGTAAATATGTTTGTGTTGACATTTTGTATGGTAAAGTAGCAACCAGCGTGTAATGTGATCGTTAGAGGTTTTAAAATGTGGCCTTTTACAGTTTTAAAATAAAGACATGCAAAGTTATGTATGTTATACAACTTTTAACTCGCCTTGAGCTTTAAATGTTTCAACAAACATTTGTGCGTGGCCTACCGTCCGTGAATTTCAAGTGTGGTGACACTAGTGCCTTTAAAATATTATTTTTATCTGTGTTCTCTTCAAAGAAAACGAAAATTCCTGTTAAACGATTGTTAGGATCGTGTTAACTCACCTTTATTCAAATTGACATGACTCTTGTATTTTAATGGTCACACATGGAATGGTCTTAAATGGTTAATCAACCTTCTCTTGTATAACGATATAGAAGACAGAAAATATGTCATAAATAAAAGCTAGTTGTTTAATTTTTTCTAAATTATTTTCGGATCTGCTACGTGGACAGTGGTTGTTAACTTTTAAATTTAATATTGAGTTTTATTTGTTCTTACAAAAGGTTACCGTCCCAAATTAGAACTGTTTGTATTGTTAATGGACTGCGCCTGTCGAGTTTGGTGTTGATTGTGACCCCTTTACAGTATCAGCTATTAATAAAGTCGATATTGCAACTCTTTTACGAGATAGCAATGTATTTTAGAAGATAATCCTATAAAATTAAACTGTTATTATATAATTTTGTTTACTTGACAGGTTTGATTATAGTACTGACCCAAAGCATTTAATCCTCCATTTTTAGTCTTATTAGTTACTTTGCTGTTACAATAATCTACCAGTGGGCCTAGCACGAATATTTGTGATAAGCGTTTTCGTATCGCCAACGTCAAGCATGTAAAAAATAGTATGAGATTGGTGTTCTTTATTTTTGGATTTGGTGTTTCTTACGCCCGATAGGCTTTTGATATTATTTTGTCGATGACGATACTATGGCGCTTATCACAATTTTTCATGCTAGGCCCACAGTTCCATTATACAGTTAGTTATCATGAGTAATAATTATTAAGATATTTTTATTCAGTTCCCCCCATCTTGTAAATGCAATGTATTTTGCCAATAGTCGAATATTAACAAGAATAAAATGTACAGTTTTGTAATAAACCCAATTCCTTTGCGGCACTGTGCCAAGAACAATAGCTCTATACTAGTGAAGTAAGATTTTGATTTAGAAACTCCGAAAAGCTTTATTTAAAAAATATTAACTTATTTATTAAAAAAAAAACTGTAACCGGTAACGATTAATTTACGAATGAAATAATTTAATATCTAATCACACCTTTTTTCAGATTTCGAAGTAAGTCATTTTGATGAAACGAATTTAAACACGCGAGCTTTTTATCATTAAGCTTTTAATTTAATTGTCTGCTATTATTTTTATTTCTATCTGTGTTGAATGATGACACGGACGGGCTGAGGGGTGGGAGGGGAGGATAATCGCGAACACTCCCTTGTGTAATCACGTACAACACGCAACAACAATATAAACATTACTACATATAAACACCAGCACAATCACACAACAACATTAACATTTACAATTGTGTATGTGTGTTGGTATGCCTATCACTTAATTAAAACACGCGAAACCTTTCCCGCGAAATGAAATCAACATTAATTTACACGTATAAAGTAAACTGATGCAGTCATCCAGGGCAGGGATGTCGGGTGTGGCTATAATTGTGATTAAAAGGCGTCGGTGACCACTGGCCGGCCAATGTTACTCACATTGATTACTTACGTATACAACGTTATTAACTAATGGACTTTTTCATCTTGTTTTGATTCACTGATATCAACATTACCTGTAGTATTTAATCTACTAGTTACAAGTAGATTAAAAACAAAGTACTAGTACCTAACTATTGTTATCTCTGTTTTGTCGAATATAATGACAGAGATGACGATATATTTTATACATATATTTTGGTCTCAGAAACCCACGGTAAGAGGGATTACAATCTTTTTTTCTAAACTTAGTTTTAAAACAAATTACGCAATCAAAAAAATTCGCGTTCTAAACCGTAGGCACATTTTTAATGTAATCGCTTTCCAGGAATATATTTACATGTGTTAATGATACGCGAACATCTATAACAAAGGTACCGTTCATTCAAAGTGCAAATGCAAATTAACGTAAATACGCGCTAGTGATGCGCCGAGTATTGGCCAACATTCGGCATCGAATGCCTTATCGGCCGCCTGATTCACAAGGTCGCCTCACAGTTCAACTAGTTAACCGGCTGCCTACATTAAATATGACCTCATCACACGGAACAAGCTTGTTTTTACACCGATATATTGGCCGGCACATTCACAATAATTTTTAAAGCATTCTAATATTAACTTTTAGAGCGATAAATTTGCGATTATTTTTAAGGTCAGTTTTGCGATATTGAAAGTCTCTGAAGTATAATATATTTGAAGTTTCTCTGCTGGAAGAAATATAATATTTTGTTTACAAATTTACTTTTTTACGTTTAATTTTTTATTTGACAACTATACAATCTTTAACTGATATTATTTCTTGAGGTGTTATATTTTCAAAAAAAACGTGTCGCGAAAAGATAGAGCATCGATAAGGCGATTGCGATAAAATAGCGACCGATTGCTAAACTGGTGCATATAAGTGCATCATGAGTGAAAGCAAGATATTTTTTTATATTTATAGTGGTTATTTTTACTTCAATATATCATGTTAAGCTATGGTCTATTTTCAATTTTGGAAGTCCGAATCGAATTCCAGATATGACGTGTTCCCAATGACATTGTTTTTTATGAACACAGTAATATTTAGTTGCGGCATAAGGCACGGTTATAAGGCTTTTATCGAGTTTGTTTAAAAACTGGCTGCCGCCCGTGACTCCGTCTGCACGAATTAAAAAAAACTTAAGTAGTTCTTTGTGTTCTTCCAGAATATCTTCTACATCTTTGCCGAATTTCAGCCAAATCCATGCACCCCTTTTGCAGATATCATCAAACAAACATTCGCATTTATAATATTAGTAAGATTTATACCGAATGTTGTTTTTTTAACGGATTTAAGTGTATTTAGCTACCTAAAAGGTGTAACCAAAATTCTCTTATCGATATTATCT